CATTGATGTTTTTCCCTCCTTCCCTACTTCTCTCCTTTACTTTCTCTAAACATATCCCAGGGTGAAGATTAAAAAAAAAAAAAAAAAAAAAGTAATGATGGTGAAAAAAATTAATTCTATAATTTATGTTTACTAGCCTGACAACTATTTGGAGGAATAATAGCCAAAATTTACAATACTTGCTACTTAAAACTATTAGCTACGCATTACAGAGGAATAAAAACAACCTATGTTTCACAAAGTTTCAATGGGAAAATTGTGTACTTTTCAATTATAATCTTTATCTTCTCATTCATTAGAAATCCTCATGTCATATATTCATTGTCTAGATTAAATTGCCTATGTGCCTTCTGTTTAATTTCCAAACTTAAAATAACATTTCACAATCTTTCATGTGCATTAGAGCATTAAAAAAAGTCAGCTAAATAAGTGATGACTTTAGTAGGAAGTGGTTTAGAGTTGCAACTGTCTCAGATGACAAAAAAAATTTACACTTTAAAGAATAAAAATTTCAATCCTATAAAATTTTAATGATTTTACATGTAAATATTATTTAACTAAGTCACTTAATATTTAAAGAGGTCATCCTATCCTATATAATCAAAGCCTAATAATATGCTGTGTCCAACTTTCATTCTACCATTCAACCAGTCGCTATGACGTGCACTGACCACCAGGGGGCAGACGCTCCAACCCGTAGCTTCACGTGCTGCTGGGGTCCAGCCCACCAGGACTGGGCAAGCCGGACAGACACATCCTGGAGCCCTCCTGTGGTCCCTACCCAGGCCCGGATCTTGCACTGGTGGAGTCCCTTGGCCTGGCCTGCGCCCTCTTACAATTCATGACTCCTCGGGGGGATGTCAGAAAGCCAATTTCCGCCCGATCCCAGCAGGCCCCCTATGGTGCCTCTAGTTTAAAAATATCTGCCCTCCAAAGGACAATTATTTCATGTTGATTAGTATAAGCACCTTCATTCTATGACAGCACGTTTTCCCACACAGACATCCCATCCATAAATGTACATGCCCTTTAACTGCTTTTTAAAAAGGTATGACTATTTCTTACTATCAAAGAAAACATTAAATATCTAAAATAAGATAAAACAAAATAGTTGTAAATTGAAATTAATCAAAAATAAAATGTGCAAAATGAAAATTATTAAGCTTGATTCATTTTGCAGCAAATATCAAAATGATTACAAAGGAAAGGAACTATTCAGGATGTAGAGTAACTGCAGTAAAATTAGAGCACTTTAAAAGAAGTTGTTAAATAAATTTCTTAAGACTAGATTCAGCTGGTATTTGCTCAAGGACTTACATTGCTTCAATTCAGATGGCTAAAATATCTGTAAAACTAAAAGCACCATGAAGTTTTGACCTTCATTGGTAATGAGTATAAAAGTACCTAGAGATTTAACAATCTTCATCTTTAGAGGGAGATCCCTTCAGATATGTCTTGAAGTGCATAGTTAACATGGGAAGCTGGCATTTAAGAAAAAGGTAAAAAGATATCCTTATTAAAAAAAATTAAGAATCTCAAACTCATAAAGGGTATATGTCTATAACAGATTGAAAATGTTTGGGACTGCCCTAGGTGGTTTGGCTCAGTTGATAGAGCAATGGCCTGGTGACTGAAGGGTCCCAGGTTTGATTCTGGTTAAGGGCACTTGCTCGGTTTTCAGACTCAATCCCATTGGGGGCGTGTGGGAGGCAGCCGATTAATTATTTCCTCCCATCATTGATGTTTCTATCTCTTTCTCCCTCTCCCTTTTTATTGGAAAACCAATAAAAATATATATTTAAAAAATATATACATAGGCCTAACTGGTTTGGCTCAGTGGATAGAGCATAGGCCCGCGGACTGAAAGGTCCCAGGTTCAATTCCGGTCAAGGGCATGTACCTTGGTTGAGTGCACATCCCCAGAAGGAGGTGTGCAGGAGGCAGCTGATCGATGTTTCTAACTATCTCTCTTCCTTCCTCTCTGTAAAAAGTCAATAAAAAAATATTTAAAAAAAAATATATATATATATACACATCTATTTTAAAAAAAATATTTGGGTCTAATAGTGAAATGAGTTGTTCCATCTGAATGAACTAAAAAGAACATTAGTAAGAAATGATACTTTATAATGATTGATAACCTAAATTCTATAATTTACTGTGGATTGTGCCCGTGTGCCCAGATATCAGCATTCTAAAGATATAACTGTATGAAAGACCACACAGAAATTATTTAAAATTTCTAACTAGGGCTGTGGTTTCCTGCAAGTGACAAAGTTCTAAGGGAAATAGTGTCACATGACAAATATCAGACTCTGAGGAATGTCCTTGCCCAAATCCCACACTTTGACAGTTCAGGTTAGACATAGATTATAGTTTTTTAAGACAGCAAAAGATCCTGGAAATGGCAGTCTTGTTAAATTCAAATAAAGAACCAACCCAATCAAAGCATAGGAATTTGGCTAGTTCCTATTTGATAGACTATACAAGGGTGAAAATCCCAGTAGTCAGATACCCAACCACCATTATTAGGAGGAGCTAAGAGAAGAAACTTACTCTGTGCCCAGCCTTAGTGGAATGAAGAAGTTGATTGCAGACAGGGGGAATGAAAAAAAAGGGTGAAACATGACCAATGTTAAAAGAAAGCAACAAAAAGAAACAAACCCAAAAAAACTCATATCAAATGAATATGCAAACAATTGTTAATGATTTCTGAGTGTTATGAAAGAAAATGTTAAAAATCAGCTTTGCTCAAAATACCAAAAGAACCATTTGCTGTATTTGAAACGTGACACATACGCGCATGCATACATACTTGTAAATTTTTTTGCCTCGTCAATTTTTTTCCCTAATCTTGTTCTCCACATGACTCTCATACCCTTTCATTTCCTGCTTATTTAGCATTTTCTAAGACAATTTGGAAAATTAGTCATAGCTTTAACGAAAGCTAACATTTTCTAGATACTTATGGCCTAATTATTCCTCAAGTATATTGATTTTAATTATGTTAAAATTCTAGTTGTAAAATTATGCTGCAGTTTGGGTCCTTATTTTGTATAGATGATCTAATGTATGTAGCACTACAAATACATTATCAAGTGATGAAGTCACCAACTAAAGATGATAATAACAAACACATTCCTCCACCTAAAAATGGACCTTCCCCTCACCTGAATATGCTGCCTGTGGACTCTTGGATATTACTGAGTGTTGAATGTTTTAGTATTCTATGCCAAATAAAAAGATGGGCTAAGGCTAAATTTTGCCCAGTTCTTTCTATTTGACATGAAAAATAATGTGCTGGTGCAACTGCCCTAAAAAAGTGTTAACCTCTCAACAAAAACTGTTACATGTCAAGAAATTTTGTCTTCACAAAGTGAAGGAAAAAACAGGGGGGAAAAAGAAATTTCGTCTTCTCCCAAGGATCACTGTCTCAAAATTACTGTAAAATGTGCTGTTATTTGGAGTCTGGTTTAGAAGAAAAAATCAAAAGTAAGATGAAATCTTTTTACATTTATAAGGAAGTATATACCATAAATCTCTGTCATCTCTATAAGTCATCTCAAAAGCTATGTTTGCCATGGAACCGTGATGATCTTAAAAATACAACGGCTACCCGTCAGGAAGAAAGGTTTCTTTATATAAATCTCATCAACACAAACACCAAGATAATCAGAGTTCCTTTTGAAACTGTTCTTAACGTTTAGGGCGTCAAGAGAGAGCACCTTAGGAAACGGAGTATAGCTATGAGCGAGCCCTCACCAGTAGCAGCTTGGAGAGTTTTCCTGCAGGAAGGACTTAGGGAAGCAACCTTTGGGGGTGAGAGGGTGACGGGCCTGCTTTGGGGCAGGCTGGGGCAATCCGATGAAAGACCAAAGTAAAGCTCCCCAAACTAACCCCTTAAGCACCAAACTCTGGCCCTTTACCCAGAAAAACGTACATAGTCTCAAAATTTCCCCCAAAATTTCAAGGAGTTCACAGATCATTGAGGAATCCTACTCTAAAAAGTCGCAGTATCCACCGAAACCGGTTTGGCTCAGTGGATAGAGCGTCAGCCTGCGGACTGAAAGGTCCCGGGTTCGATTCCGGTCAAGGGCATGAACCTTGGTTGCGGGCACATCCCCAGTAGGGGGTGTGCAGGAGGCAGCTGGTCGATGATTCTCTCTCATCGATGTTTCTAGCTCTCTCTCTCTCTCTCTTCCTCTGTAAAAAATCAATAAAATATATTTTTTAAAAAAGAAAGAAAACAAGGAGTTTGGGCAATTCGAAGGGCCAAAACTGCAGTCCCCGGAGAGCACATCACCACGGTGCCATGGCAGCTGCCACCTTGTCTCAGGGCGAAAGGGACCGTTTTTACCCTCTTCCCCTAGATGGCAAACTAGACCGGGCCAGGGATTCTGCTCGCTACTTCCCGGTTTTCTTCTGAGAAGCCAGCTTTCGCCGACTGGGGGCGAGGGGGTGGGGAGATAACGTGTACACCACGACATGGAACTCGGGAGACGTCAGGAGGCGGAGGGGGGCCGTGCCTCCTCTCCGGAACGGCCGAAGCACGGGCCCCGTGGGCCTCTCCCCGCTCGGGAGGATGGGTCTCCCGGCAGCACCAGCCGGTGAGAGGGGCCTCTTTCCCCCTCGGACGTCCTGGGCATCGGGGGCGGGGGTACGAGGCCAGGGCCGGCTTCCCCCAGAAGTGGCAGCTCCCTCACCTCCCGTGCCCTCCCCCTGGGCCTTCCCAGGCCCGGCCTGAACCGCGCCACCTCCCACCCCCACAGGCCTCCGGGGTCGCCTCAGCCCTCGCCCAGAGGCTCCCGGCCGCTCCCTACGACGCAGCGCCCCGGCCGAGGGCCAGGCCTCGGCCACCGCGGCTGCCATCCTCACCATCCTGTCACTGGGCTCCGCTCAGTCACCGCAACCGCCGCCGCCCTCTTCCTCAGACGCCTCGAAGGCCCGCCCACTTCTCTCACAGCCAATGAGAAAAGGCGTCCGCAGGAGACCGCTGTACGATGACCCGCCCACTTTGTTCACAGCCAATGAGAAAAGGCGTCCGCGGGAGGCCGCTGTACGGTGGCCCGCATAGGCTCTTTCCCGCCGTAAGGCGAAGCTACTTCCGGGGAGGGAGTGGAAGTGGAAAGGGAGGGAGGAGTTCTCGAAGCTTCTGAAGGCGTGGGCAGCACCGTCCCAGTCCTTGGGACTCAGCCTGTTAGGGCCGCAGCCATGCTGAAATGTGGGATGAGCGGCAGCCAGGTTAAAGGTGGAGCGGCCTTTCTTCCCTTCCTACGGAGAAAAAGGGAAAGCCGGAGGGTTACAGGGGCGTTCCGCCATCATCTTATGCTGAACCCTTTGCTTTTTTATGCATAAGGGCCGAGGACACACAAAGTCTGGCCACGAAAATGGCCCTGTTAGTTTCTGAGGGGAAGATGAAGGCCCATGTGCTTTGATTTCTGCTTAATATTTATGTTCATAGGTGTCTACGGAATGAAGTTGAACCATCGGGACAGAGATTGGGGGGAGTGTGGGCCTCAAAATCGGGATGAACTGTGGGGCAGAGTGGAGGATAAAAAATAACGCTTGGACAGAGTATTTTAGTGTCATGGGAAAAACCAGTGTTGTTTTTTTGTTTGTTTTGTTTTGTTTTACTGTAGATCCTACCATTTTTAATTTTTTTATTATTTTATGTTGATAGTACTACAGATGTCTCCCATTCTCCCTCCACCCCCATCCTTTATCCCCCTCCACCCAGCCCCGATCCTATCATTTTTTTAAATTTATGACCTGGGACAAGCTACAGAATCACCTTAGGGCTCAGTTTCTTGTCATCAATTAGATGACAAATAGCATCTTTGCTGTAGCGATGAAAGGAAATGCATGTAAAGAGCTCAATAAATGGGAATGTTCAGCGACGATTATTATAAACTAGAGGCCTGGTGCATGAGACTCATGCACAGGTAGAGTCCCACGGTCCCTAGGCCTGGCCTGTGATTGGGGCTTTCCTTCCTTTGACTGCCAGCCAGGACCCTCCTTCTGTGCTGCCCCCTGGTGGTCAGCGCACAGCATAGCCAGCAGTTGAACTCCCAAGTGGTCAAACTCCCAATGGGTCAAATTCCCAGTGGGTGGAACTCCCGTAGGGATAATTTGCATATTAGTCTTTTATTATATAGGATGGTACTTTGTAAACATGTAAATTACTCCCCAAAAATCTGTATTTGGAAAAGCAATGGTTTCCTACAAACTGTAACCTGAAAATAATCATGGAAAGGCATCTTGCAATGTGCCTGGCTTCCCTGTGTTGAGGACTTCTATGGAGCAGTAATATGGAACAGGAAATTCTCTTTGGCAGTGTATACCTCAATTTTTAATGAGCAATTTATTTACGTGATTGTTTAATTATGTTGAATGTAAACACTGAGGGCAGGAACTATTCCTGTCTTGTTCATCCCTTTACCCCCACTGCCCTGGGGTTGTACTTGGAACATTGTAGGTGCTCATAAATATTCATTGGCTGAATGAAAGGTCTGCATTAGGCGGCTCCAGGAAAATGTGAATGTGAAGTGGGAAAAGGGACAAATGCATCTATCACTCCCCTCCCCACCCTAGTCATCCAGTCTTTCTCAGTTTGAGGTCCATACTCCCAACTCACATACTTATGATTCTTAAGCCTTATAATCTAACTCTATGTTCTGGAATTGTTTCCCTTATGTGTACTTTTCCATAAATTGATCTCTGTGTTTATTTTGCAGCATTCCATTCCATATCTGTTTGCCACATTTTTTTTTTTTTTTTTTACTTATTGCAAGTGTCATGCCAGGTCAGACCAGTCTCTCTTTCTGAAAGGACATCTGTGTTTGGTGGGAAGATTTGGCATCTTTCATGCAACCCTCAAACACCAGAGATGCATCTTGAGAGCTTCTAATTTATCTCATGACTTGCTTTCACCTTGCTACCAGTCAAGTTATTAAAAACCTTCAAACCACCCAAAAACCTTCAAACCACCCTCTCCATTCTTTCTTTGTACACTTTTTCCCAGGGTACAGTAGGGGAAGATACAAGTTGTTTTTGTTTTGTTTTTTTAATATATTTTATTGATTTTCCACAGAGAGGAAAGGAGAGGGATAGAGAGCTAGAAACATCGATGAGAGATAAACATCGACCAGCTGCCTCTTGCACACCCCCCACCGGGGATGTGCCCGCAACCAATGCACATGCCCCTGACCGGAATCGAACCTGGGACCTCTCAGTCCGCAGACTGACGCTCTACCACTGAGCCAAACCGGCTTCGGCAAGATACAAGTTTTAAGATACATTAGTATGGGAGGAAATTGGCTTGCCACAGTAGTTCCATGCAACACTGCAAACAGGAAAAATTTTGTTGGATATTATTTCATATACTCATTTTTTAAATTTATTGAGCTCGTACTACCGTTTCCCCGAAAATAAGACAGTGTTTTATATTAATTTTTTCTCCCAGAGTTGCGCTAGGTCTTATTTTCAGGGGATGTCTTATCTTTCCATGCACTAGGTCTTATTTTCAGAGGATGTCTTATTTCCTGAGAAACACGGTATTAACTTGGCACTTTGGCAATAGTATTATACTGTATTTCTTTTTAAAAAAAATTATTGTTGAAAGTATTACAGAGATTCCCTTTTTCCCCATTGGCCCTCTCCACCCTGCTCCTACCCCCCATAATGTATTCTTAAAGCAATTAGTAGTATTGGTCTATAAACACTATTCTTTTTTTTTTTCTTTTTTTTTTCTTTTTTTTTTTATATATTTTATTGATATTTTACAGAGAGGAAGGGAGAGAGATAGAGAGCCAGAAACGTCGATGAGAGAGAAACATCAACCAGCCGCCTCCTGCACACCCCCCACTGGGGATGTGCCCGCAACCAAGGTACACGCCCCCGACCGGAATCGAACCCGGGACCCTTCAGTCCCCAGACCGACGCTCTACCACTGAGCCAAACCGGTTTTGGCGATAAACACTATTCTTTATGAATTTAAGTTCAATGAATGCTGAAGTAGACCTATGATTTGTTTTTGTTTGAGAGAAAGAATATAAGCAACACCTTTCTTTTTCTCTGTAGTATTTGGGAAAGCAATCCAAGCTCTATCAAGAGTTAGTGATGAGCTGTGGCTAGACCCATCTGAAAAAGGTGTAAGTAACTCATAGACCATTAATTTAATAAGACAAAAGAAGTTTAAGATTCCAGCACAGATTGTATGTTAACTAGGAAATCCAGAAATTGTAATTATCCTTTTCACTGTTCATATTTATTGTATGTATCTAAATATACTTAGAACAGCGATTTTCAACCTTTTTCATCTCATGGCACACATAAACTACTAAAATATTTTGGCACACCAAAAAAATATATATTTTTTTGCTAATCTAACAAAAAAATAAGGAATAATTTTGATTCATTTACACTGGACAGCTATTGTGTTGGCTATTATCATATTTTTAATTTGACAATTTAAGGAAAAAGAGGTCAGTGCCCCTGAATAAAGTCATGTATTCCTTGTTTTAAAAATTCTTGCAGCACACCCATTGAAAAGCACTGATTTAGAGCATAGTAAATTTTAAAATTATGCAGATAAATACAACTAATTTAAATTAAAAGTCACAATGCTAGATATGCTTGTACAAGTGTTTTATGGGGATTGCACTGTTTTTTTGAAAATGGAAATTATTTCTATCAGTTAAAAATTGAGAGAGCCCACATAAAAATATGAATTTCCTGTTTCTCTTGAAAACTCAAGAAGATCTGACAGTTTGGGGCCTGTATTCCCAAATGGAAGTAGTTGGCTGAGACTGACTAACAGTTTCTCCTCTTAGAAAAGGCAAGAGGTTGCTGAGACTGGTTTGGTTCAGTGGATAGAGCATCAGCCTGCAGACTGAAGGGTCCCAGGTTCGATTCCGGTCAAGGGCATGTACATTGGTTGTGGGCACATCCCTGGTGGGGGGTGTGCAAGAGGCAGCTGGTCGATGTTTCTCTCTCATCGAGGTTTCTAGCTCTCTGTCCCTCTCAATTCCTCTCTGTGTAAAATCAATAAAAAATATATTAAAAAAAAAGAAAAGAAAAGGCAAGAGGTTGCCATTTTGCTAGGAACGCTTTTTACTCCCTTTTATATTGCCTTCTGCCACTTTGTACATTAAAGGTAAGGCCCCTGTAGGCATTTGCAATTTTACAATTTCAACATGCAAAATTTTAGATTTAATATCTACATATATTTAATATAGATATGTACACATGTGTGTATGCACATGCAAATTTAATATACAGTGTATAGATGCAGTCCATATAATTTGTAGCCATATAATGCAGTTAACATCTGATCACCTTATTTGAATATTTAATTGCTATATTAAACAAAATAGAATTTTTTAAATTACTAATTTAAAGAAATTTTTTCCCTTAATAGCTATTTTTCCCCCCAGCTTGCTTTAAGGTCTGTGAATTCTTGTCGCTCAGCATACGGATGTGTTCTCTTCTCTCCTGTGTTTTTCCAACATTATCATTGGTCAACCTCAGTAGAAGTGAATGGCACAAAATCAAATTTAAATTGCAAGTTGGGAATGAAGGTAAATATAAGTGGCCCTGGTTGTCTCTCTTATATTATGGAATTATTCAGTATATCAGACAGAACATCTATTCTGTACTTAATACTTGGATTAAATGCAGGTAGGACAAATCTATTCATTTATGAATATGCACACTTTTCTTTTGTTTGTTTTTAAACTAATTAAACATTGAGTATATGCTGTTCCATAATCTTATTTTTATTACAGTCAATTCTGCCCATATTCAGATGTCTGAATTCCCTCGAAAGAAATGTAGAGATGTGCAAAATATTCACCAGATCTGATAAAAGTAAAGTAGTCATTCAATTATTCTGCAGACATGGTAGGTATTATTAAAAATAATGTATTGTGTGTTTCTTGTTAATATTTTTAGGTTTAGAATATTCAAACTGCATGTCAAGAGTTCTCATTACATTACTGCTTAGACTTTGTATAGTTTTATGGTAGGGCAGTTAGAAGTACTTGAAAAAAATTATCTTATTTGTCTCTGTAGACGTATTGTGAGATGATTGATAGTATTTCTTTGTCAGTGACACAAACTTTGCCTGCATACAAACTAATTTTTAATTTAAACAATTGGTTGTTCTCAAATTAACTGGCTGATTGATATTCTATAAGAATGCCTTGGTAATAGTGTTCCTTGGTTCCTTGGAAGAAAGAATAATTCCTGCTCTAGCTGGTTCGGCTCAGTGGATAGAGAGTCAGCCTGCAGACCAATTAGATTCTGGTCAGGAGCACTTACCTTGGTTACAGGCTCCTCCCGGCCCCAGTCCTGGTCAGAGCTTGTGCAGGAGGCAACCAATCATTGTGTTTCGCTCTGACCCTCTCTTCCACTATCCCTAAAAAAAAATCAACCGAAAAATATCTTTAGGTGGTGATTAACAAACAAAAGAATATTTCCCTCTAGGAAAGAAGCATGGTAACTGGCTCAAGGTATCCCTCTCTCTTCCTCTCTGTAAAAAAATAAATAAAATATATATATTTTAAAAAGCATAGCCTTGAAAAGCAATTTAGCCTCACTGAGTTATTGTTTCCTCTTCTTAGATTAAGTACCTGTCCCATAGGGATATTGTGTGGATCAGAGGTAATGTATGTAAAATGTATACCTCAGTTCCTGGCATATAGGGCCATAGCCATTATTGCTACACATTTTTCTCAGAGGAAAATAATTCACAGGCTAGATGTTCAGCTTTATATTCCAAAGGCCCCATTCAGAATATTAGGCCTGGATGACAGATACCGAATCATAGATAGCTGAGCTATAGTGGGCAATCACTATTTTACACACAATTTAAGAAATTAACTGTATTCCAAAAGAATGTGGGAACTCTTTATTGCCTGCTTGGTGAGATGGTCTGACATATTGCCTGATGTCCACTAGGGAGCGATAAACACATTCATTCAGGAATAGTGCTTCTCAATGCTGTGTGCACCTGCCAGATATTAAATATAACTTTACTTAAAAACTTCTTAATATTTTAATTTTGAACCTAAAATTAACAGGTTGTTTATTCTTTTGCAGGTATTAAAAAGACTCACAATGTGTGTTTTCAAGAAAGTCAGCCTTTGCAAGTTCTTTTTGAAAAGAATACATGTAGTAATATACTAATGATTCAACCAAGGTAATGAATTCTCTGTTCTTTTTCTTAAAATAGTATGGTTACAGAGTAAAGAATTAATGTCCTAGAGCTTTTAAATAAGTCACATTTTTGTTTTAAAGCTGATTCTGGACTTGGGAGAAATCACCAGCTAGTATCAAGAGGAAATCTTGATAAAGATAATAGTGCATCAGCGATTTTCAACCTTTTTCATCCCACAGCACACATAAAATAATTACCAAAGTATTCCTTTTTGGTTTGCATCACACCAAAAATTATATGTTTTGTTGATTTGACAAAAAAAAAAAGAAAAGTATGATTTTGACTCATTCATGCCAGACAACTATTGTTGTATTGGCTGTTGTCATTTTTTAAAGATTTATTTTTATTGATTTCTGAGAGAAAGAGAGAGGGAGATAGAAACATCAGTGATGAGAGAAAATCATGTGCCCTGATGGGAATAAAACCCAGGACCTTTGAGCCCGTAGGCTGAAGCTCCATCCACTGAGTCAAACTGGCAAAAGTTGTTGTCATTTTTTAAAAAAATACATTTTTATTAATTTCAGAGAGGAAGGGAGAGGGAGGAGAGAGCTGTTGTCATTTTTAAAAATTTGACAATCTAAGGGAAAAGAGGTCAGTGCCCCTGACTAATCATGTATTAAAAATTCTTGTGGCACACTTGTTGAAAATTACTGTAATTGCCTAATGGTAGCAATAATAATTTAGTGGCCAAGAAAATTCTAAAAATATTCCATCAGTAGCTTTCATCATCAAATGATATCAAGAAAAAAATATATTTTCTAATATTTTGCATTTACATGGTGCCTTCTGTCTGAGTCTTAAAACACACAGCATAAGGAAATTTCAACATTTTTTATATGAACTGATTTTTTCCTTAAGTATTTCCATTTTTCCTCGAGAAAATGAGTCAATGTACTCAATTTTTCAGTTAAGCCAAACAGTTACTTTGTAAGTCAAAAGATATTTTATCCTTGTGTTTTTTTTTAAATTACCAAATAAATACATGTTCTTGAAACACATCTAAAATTTATAGAAGATTGCAAAGATTAAAAAATGAAAATCTTTCTCCTCTACCTGTCCCCTTTATTCCACTGGCAATGATAATTTCTATTAATAATTTGGTGTATATCATTCTAGTTCTTCTTTTTATAGCTATTTTGTTAAATTTATATCCATTTTCTCTGTAACTCTCCCTATAATTATTGTGATCTCTTTTTACCGCCTCTCAAATTAATATCACATACTTTATTATTCATAGTTTTTGATAATATAGTATACATATTATTTTCAAAGAAAATGTCCCACTATTATTTTTGTTTGGCAAGATTTTTTTTTCCAGTTCCTACATCAGTTCACCTAAATCTATCTTATTATTTTTAATGATGATACAATTTTTCATTGTATGACTGATTGGTAATTTACTTATTCATTATCCTCCCTCCCCACAGTTGATGCCTAAAACTGCAGATAGTACCAACCCTATATATATTGTTTTTTTCCTATGCATACAGACCTATGAGAGTTTAACTTCAAATTAGTCACAGTAAGAGGCTAACAATAATAACTAATGAAATAGAACAATTATAACAATATACTATAATAACTGTATGTGAATGTGGTGACTTGCTCAGGTCTCCCTATAGACTCAATGCTTTCTGGTGCATCATGTTGCCATCAGTCAGAACATGTTTTCTGCCCATGTTGTCCACCCACAAGTTCAATGCCTTTTCCCTCTTCACTAAGCACTACCACACCCACGGGGGCTGTAACTTTTGCAGTTCGAGGTGCAACAGGAAATTTCTTTTCCTTCTTTATAACTTCATAGGTAGGAGATTTGTTCTTACCATAGACCTTAGCAACTTCGGCATATGACTTTTTTTCTTTCCTTATCAAGGAGAATTTTTACCTCTTCACTTAAAGGAAGCATTTTTTGGCTTCTCTTTGGCATATCTGAATTGTCAGCATCACTACTTTTGCGATTTGGGGATATTAATAAGTATAATAAGCACTGCAATACCTCGACAGCCTAGCTGATGATAACTGATAGCCACTAAGTGACTAACGGGTAGGTAGCATATACAACGTGGAGACACTGGACAAAGGAGTGAGTCACATCCTGGGCAGGATGGTACCGGATGGCATGAGATTTCATCACGCTGACCGGAATGGCAAGCATTTTAAAACATAATTATTTCTGGAATTTTCCATTTAATATTTTCAGATCACAGTTGACTGGAGATAACTGAAATCCAGAAAAGTGAAATCTTGGATAAGGGGGAACTGCTGTATCGGTTCCAACTTTTTGCCATCACAAACAATGCTGCTAGTAGTACACAGGGTAATGTGTTAGTTATCTGTTGCTATGGAGCAAATTTCCTCAAATCTTGGAGCCTTAAAAAAAACAGACATTTGTTACTTCCTGCATCTGGCTCAAGGTCACCAAGGTTGAAGTTAAGCCATCAGCCAGGACTGTAGTCTTATCTGAAATCTGTGGAGGGAGTTACTTCCAAGCTCACCGACATGGTTGCTGGGAGGCCTCAGTTCCTCACCAGGCAAGCCTCTCCTTAGACTGCCTGATCATACTCACTACATGGTGATGAGAGACAGAGAGACAGAGAGGAGGAGGGGAAGGCTCCCAAGATGGAAGCCATGGTCTTTTTGTATCCTAATCTCAGAACTGCTGTTTTAGACTTCTGCCATTTTCTCTTTGCTAGAAGTGAATCTTATCTGTCCAGCCCACACTCTAGGGGAGGGGATTTATATAGGACCCGAAAACGAGGAGGTGGGAATCAGAGGGGCCTCTTCTAGGCTGCCAAACACAAATAGAGTCCTAGAGATTAAATTTCTGGCTAAAAGGCTTACTAATTTTTAAAAAAATATATTTTATTGATTTTGTACAGAGAGGAAGGGAGAGAGATACAGAGTTAGAAACATCGATGAGAGTCATCGATCAGCTGCCTCTTGCACACCCCCTACTGGGGATATGCCCGCAACCAAGGTACATGCCCTTGACCAGAATCAAACCTGGGGCCGGTTTCGGTCAAAGGCTTACTAATTTTAAATGTGCCTACACACTGATTATCAAATTGCTACCTGGAAAGTTTGTATCAATTTACATTCCCACCAACAGTGTAGGAAAATCCTTCCAAGAAAAGGATATGAACCATCTTTTAAATTTTTTCCAACATAAAAGGTAGAAAATTGTATTAATAGACTTCTTTGTTGTTTTTATTTCATTACTAGGCAGTTTGAGCATCTTCTCATATACTTACTAGCAATTGGTGTTTTTCTTCCCTAATTGCACATTCATGTCATTTTTTTTTTTATATCAGGTTGTTTGGTATCTTGTACAAAACTTCTCCCTTAACACTGGAAATGTTTCCAGATGAATTTGGTAGGCGTTCCTCACATTTTGGCATCAAGAAACACTAATACCAACATTACAAAAATTCTAAGAACCTGTGTTTTTTAAAAAAATCAAATAACACCTCAATTTCAAAAGTTGCTCAGAAGTTATAATGCAATAATAAAAAGGCAAACAACCTAACTAAAAAACAGGTAGAGGATTTGAATAGACATTTTTCCAAAGATGATATAAAATGGCCAATAAGCACATGAAAAGGTGCTCAGCGTAATTATTTTTAATATAGTTTATTAATTTTTACAGAGAAGAAGGGAGAGGGATAGAGAATTAGAAACATCGATGATTGAGAAACATCCATCAGCTGCCTCCTACACACCCCCAATTGGGGTTGTGCCCACAACCAAAGTACAAGACCTTCACTAGAATCGAACCTGGACCCTTCAGTCCTCAGGCCGACGCTTTATTCACTGAACCAAACTGGTTAAGGCGGTGCTCAGCATTATTAATCATTGGGGAAACTCAAGTCAAACAACTTGAAATCTGAATTGTATAGTATGTTAATTATATCTTAATAAATCTGTTTCTAAAATGGGAGCACAGAATGAAAAAGCACTTGGATGTCAAGATAACCTTGAAAGCAATAATTAGTAACCCAGGACAAGTAACAAAGGGAAAGAGAATATAGGCAGCAGATTGCTTGCAAACTTCTACCTTTCAGCTGGGTCTCCAGTATTTACCCCAATTGTATTAAAACGGCTCTGTTTTCTACTATTTCCCTTAGGAGTATGATCCCAGGCCAATTAAAAAAAATTGTTACACAAAAAAAGAACTAAAAGCATTTTATTCTAGTATTTGGTTTATCTTACAGCTTACATGTTTTACTAAGAATTCATTTTACTCTTGGCCTTTAAATGAAGTTACAGTTTCAAAATATAGCAGCTTACATAGAAGAAAGAGGAAAAATTTACATTTTGGGTAAATTTTTCTAAATATAGGCCAACCTATTTCTAGATTAAAGATTTGAGTCCCACCCTAGCTGGTTTGGCCCAGTGGATAGAGTGTCAGACAGTGGACTAAAGGGTCCTGGGTTCGATTCCAGTCAAAGGCACATGCCTGGGTTGAGGGCTCCATCCCTGGGGGGGGAGACATGCAGAAGGCAGCAGATCAATGATTTTCTCTCAATGCTGATGTTTCTACCTCTCTCTCCCTCTCTGAAATCAATTAAAACACACACACACACACACACACACACACACACATATATATATATATATACATATATATATATACACATATATATATATTTGAGTCCCATTTGAAAGCTGTTTATTTTCCAAAGACGGTAATATTTTTATTACATTTCCCAGAGTGCTTGCTGAGGCAATTGTTCTTTTCACATCAAGTCAAGAGGAAGTTACTCTTGCAGTTACTCCACTGGAAGTTTGCATTAAGAGTTCTACTGAGGAATCAATGGGTATGAGTTATATCTGTCATAGTGCTTTAATGTAATATTGTAATATCACTTCCTTGTTTTCTTGATGACTAACCAAGCAGTAAATATTAGTGGCATAATATTTATTTTTGTTTAAAAAGCAGAAAGATGTAGAAAGATCATTAAAATGTTTAAGAGATCCAGGAAATTTACACAATCAGTAATTAAAATGCTTTGCTTTGAAATTCCAGTTGTTTTAAAATTGGGAGAATGGTTACTAAGAAAATTTTTAAAGTTAAGATTTTAACATTTTTCTCATCCTTTGTTATACTTTGTGTTCAGCATAAAGAAAAATTAAGAGGCCAGCAATCCAATTGAGATGACCTTTGACTACATAAGAAAAAGTGTATTTGAATTGGAAATGTAAGGTATATTTCAGACAGCAAATGTATAGGGTAGAAAATATGAATAATTCTTAAGTCAGTTCTTTCAAGAGTTATCTAGATGGAATGGAGAAACTAAGGCACTATCAAATCAGTTTGGTATAAATAAAATGTATGGGGTCATTTTGGTACAAGTTGTTTGAGACTCTTTGACCTTGGATAATTTACAATATTTTGATGATAGCAGTAAAGGAAGAATACAAAGGGAGGAACTATTATTTTAAAGTGAAAAACCATGCCGAAATTGGTTTGGCTCAGTGGTAGAGTGTCGGTCTGCGGACTGAAAGATCCCAGGTTCGATTCCGGTCAGGCCCATGTACATTGGTTGTGGGCATATCCCCAGTAGGGGGTGTGCAAGAGGCAGCTGGTCGATATTTCTCTCTCATCGATGTTTCTAGCTCTCTATCTCTCTCCCTTCCTCTCTGTAAAAAATCAATAAAATATATATTTTTAAAAATAATAAAGTGAAAAAAATAGAACTGGGGATTAAGTTGTGTCAGATGACTTTCGTAGTGTTTAGTTTGTGCCAGCTTCTGTTCTAAATGGTTTTCATTTCTGAATTCATTTGATCTTTGTAACAACTCTGTGGTGTAGGTACTATTATGACCCCTCTTTTCCATCTGAAGAATATGAAGCACAGAGAAACTAAGTGACTTGCTGGTGTCACACAGTTAGTAAGTGGTGCCTGGTGACCTGAGCACAGGGCACAACTCATTTGTGCTATTATTGTTTCTCTCACATCTCCTCTACATTGTTTCTTGGCCCTCAGGAGTGCATGATCTGGGAAATATATACTTGATTAGGGAAGGGTCTGGTTTATATTCCATAATGCCATCTCTGAATAAAGATGGTCATTTAATAACAGACGCTGTCCCTCATGAACAACTTTCTAATGAGTAGTTGTAGTTATGTTTGACTAGAGACCCAATTGTTTAATTCTATTATTGAACTTATGCTATGCCAGCACCCTGGAGTGACATGAGCCTTCTTGTTTGAGATTAATATATTTGTATGGTATTTGTTTGGCCCTTAAAAAAATGTATACCATTTATCCTTTGTTCTTATCCTATATAATAAAGAGGTAGTATGCAAATTGACTATCACTCCAGCACACAAATGGCTGCCACAAGATGGCTGGCAAGGGAGGGCAGTTGGGGGCGATCAGGCCTGTAGGGGAGGGCAGTTAGGGTCAACCAGGCTGGCAGGGGAGGGCAGTTGGGAGCAATCAGGCCTGCAGGGGAAGGAAGTTGGGAAGAACAAACCCTGCAGGGAAGGACAGATGGCACAGCCCAGCCTGCAGAGGAGGGCAGTTGGGAGCAATCAGGCCTGCAGGGGAAGGAAGTTGGGAAGAACAAACCCTGCAGGGAAGGACAGTTGGCACAGTCCAGCCTGCAGAGGAGGGCAGTTGGGAGCAATCAGGCCTGCAGGGGAAGGAAGTTGGGAAGAACAAACCCTGCAGGGAAGGACAGTTGGCAGAGTCCAGCCTGCAGGGGAGGGCAGTTGGGGACAATTGGACTGGCAATGGAGTGGTTAGGGGGTGATCAGGCTGGCAGGCAGAAGTGGTTATGGGCAATCAGGCAGGCAGGCAGGCGAGCAGTTGGGAGTTGGCAGTCCTGGATTGGAGAGGGTGCAGGCTGGTTTGAGGGATAACCCCAATGCATGAATTTTGTGCACCAGGCCTCTAGTACTTACATAATTTATAATCATAAAATAATTTTTATTTATTTTTAAATATATATATATATTGATTTCAGAGAGGAAGGGAGGAGAGAGAAAAACATCAATGATGAGAGGGAATCATTGATCAGCTGCCTCCTGCATGCCCCCTACTGGGGATCAGGCCCACAACCCAGGCATGTGCCCTTGGCTGCAATTGAACCTTCAGTCATCAGGCCAACGTTCTATCCACTGAGCCAAACCAGCTAGGGCATCACAAAATAATTTTTAAAAAGCACAATACAAAAGTCACCTGAAATTCTACTATCCAGAGATGAGCACTTTTAATACCTGTTTCTATATTTCAGATCTAATAGGAGATGGGTTGTGGGAAAGTAATGAAATACCTTGAAGCTATTAAAAGTAATCTTGTATTTGTATATATACACTCTGAGAGTGTATATCAAAGATATTTATTGAAGCTAATTTTGTGGAAAACACAAGTGAAAAAGAGGCAATGGGTTTGAACAGACATTGACATGGCTTGTAATTGATGCTGGGAACTCGGCTGGATTATTGTCCAGAGTACCTGCACATTATGTGGTCTCTTCATTTATTAAAGCATGAAGTCAGCACGAGCAAGTGTTGCAGGATAGAGGAAGTGGATAGAGGATAGACAGGGAGACTATTAGTTGCTAAAAGCCTGGGCCCAGAAACCAGCACCAAATCACTTCATCATGTCCTATTGGTCAAAACAGTCAGAGAGCCCACCCACCCAGATTCTAGGAGAGGGGAAGTAGACATAGACCCTGCCTCTCAATGAAGGAATGCCATGGACTTTATGGATATGGTTAACTTACCACTAAGGTTATGTTTTTATATTCAAACTTAATGAATATCTCTAGAACTAATTGTATTCTTCATTTTCCTACTATATTGAACAGATTTGAACAGTTCTGTATACAGTGAGATGTTTGTGGGTCCACATGAGTTTGAGTTCTTTCAAATTGGGGTTGACACTGAAATAACATTTTGCTGCAAAGAATTGAAGGTAAAGAAAAATTTGTATGAAATTAAATTTTCACTGGTAGTTTTTTAAAGAAATATTTCATTTTTCTTTCTTCTTTTCCTTTTAGGGAATGCTGATATTTTCGGAAGCTACACATGCTCCTATAACCATGCATTTTGATTTTCCTGGGAAGTAGGTCCTTGGGGAACTTTTCTGAGTTTGTTTCTTTTTCTTTTGTTATATGTTAATAATAAAACCATTTTAATCACTTTGAAATTAATTCATACCTCAGGAATTCCTTAACCTCACTAGCAATACGTATCAAACTAAATTTTGAAAGATGCCATAATATATTTTTTAATTGGTAAACTTGATTGAGAAAGATATATGCTTCTGCAGAGTGAAAACATTTATAAATTTGATAGGAATAAATTGCCTAATTAGAAAATAATACATGGCTTAAATCTCTGTGAAACTGTATTTTATATGACACTCCAGGACTGAACTTTCAAATGAGATTGAGTTTGGATAGCCGTTTTATAAAATTAGATCTGATTTCAGCTCTTAAGACTGTGTTAATCGGTGAGAAGACTAAAAGGAAGTCTACTTTTACTGTTTATTTTTATTCCTGAATTAGATATAATTTCTTCATATTTTCCCAATGTCCATCAGAAAATGATTGTGATGTTTGCTCTGACTTTGCCTTTTTAGACCTTTGGCTTTAAGTATTGACCATATGCTATTGGAAGCTAACTTTATTTTGGCTACATTAGCCGATGAGCCAAGTAGAGCATCTTCTCCGCAATCATTGTGTCTATCACAAAAACGAAAAAGGTAAGGCTATGTTTTAACATTTTTATTGGCTGGGAAAAAGCCATTGCCATTTACTCTGAAACAATTGAGGAGTAAAACATTCTATCAGAAATTTTGATGGAATCAGAAAGACTTCACTGTAACAGAAATATCACTGACCTAGCTGTTTGCCCCCTGGTGATCAGTGCACATCATAGTGACTGACTGACAAGTCCTTCCAGTCATTTGTCGTAACAATTGCTTAGGCTTTTATATATTTATTTCAAAGTAAATAGTTTATTCATTTAATTTATATTAATACCTCAGGTCAGATCTGGCAGTTTCAAATTCAAAGGTTGGTAAAAAAGATAACAAGGCCATGGAGTCTATCTCAAGAAAAGTAGCACCCAGAAACCTTTATGCCGATGAGATTCTCTCAAACATCTCTACGTTGGAAAATTCTGGCAGTCCTATAATGAAAAGAGTGAATAGTGACACAGAGGAAGAGCCAGGGTCTTCATCTCTCAGGAAGGTAAAAGAAAAACATTGAGACATAACTGTGTCTCAGTCAAGAATTCTCATCATCTGTCACCCTTTTGTAGTCTCCCTGCTCCAGCCCACCCTCAATATCCTGGAGATACATTTTCTTACTTTTTGACAGTAGAGAGTTGAAACCAATCTGCGATGGAGAAAAGACTGATTTATTTTATAGACCGTTAATATGATTATTTTTTATGTGGTTGTTGTTTTGCTTAATCCCTTCATCAGAGTAATTTCTAACAGTATATTCAAGTAGGGATTTGGATCACTTATTTTAAAGAATAAATGATGATCGTGTATAGCATACATATCTTTGAATAGAAATAATATGCTAGTCATATAGTTTGTTTTCTAAAATAAACGTTCTTCTCATTTCATTTTTCAAATCTGTTTGGAAAACCATTTATTCATAGTGATACAATATAACTTTTACCCCCCAAACATCACAAATTCCTTCATAGCAAAGTCACAGTTAATAACATATAAAAACACCAACATTTTACTAGATTGATGATAAGCTTCACAGAACGCTAACATTAAGCCTTATGAAATCTACTGAGGATAAACACAATTTATTAGAAACAGAAGTATCTCAAATAATGAGTTTCAATTTTACATTTACATTAATATTTTACTTAAGACTGTTTTGCTATTGCTGTTATTATTGGTTTGGGAATATGAGTTTCTTAGTTAGAATTAGAAATCTAGAAGGAGAAATATTGTTTCTAAAAGTCACTATCTTAAGCTGTACAAAAGACTTTTTAGGGCTGTAATATTGCATGGGGATGTTGGGTGAATGTGTGGTGTGTGCAAAGCCCTCTGATGGAGGAAACATTCAGTTCCTTTAAGGAACTGAAGGCTGGCCAGTAAGGTTAGAGGGTAGATAGCCAGGGGGAAACAATGGCACAGGATGAAGCTAATGCTGAGGTTGAGAAACCCTGATGCAAAGGCTGTTGAAAGTCTAAGAGCGACCAGGAGAGTATGGCACAAGGAAGGTACGAGAACGAAGTATCTAAGTAGGAAGCAGGATGAAGACTGAAAATGGCCACTGGCTTAAGGATGTGAGGATTTTTGGTAACCATAATAAGAGTTTCTGTGAAATGGTGATGTCAGGAGCTTTTAGATAGGACTGAATAGGAGAATAAGAAAATGGAGACAGCAAGTGTAGATAACTACAGCAGAGATAAGGCAGGGAGGGAGGAACAGGATGGGACTTTTTATATATTTTAAGGATTAGAGACATTATTTCAAAATGCTTATATTCCTATCCAGTAGAGGGGAGGCTGTGAGGCTGACAAAGAGGAAAGTTTGGGCATTAGCTGGGAAGGGGGTTCACTTCTGTCCCAGGAGGAGGGAAAGGAGAGAAGATGGGAGTGAAGCAGAATTACCTGCAAATATGCCTTTGTCCTCTGTCTCTTACAACCGTGGCGTTAGTTTAAATCATCAGGCAAGGGAGTCAGAAGCAGATCACTGATCCCAAACTGTGTGCCTTTTGGGGAAGGATTCTGTTTCAGAGAATGCATTGGGCTGGTCATGAAAGTTCTGGGTGTTTCATGAACCATCGTCATTAAAGTTAGGGTGACCACACTGGCCAAGTTTCTGAAAAGGGTTATTCCCTGGAGTACTTAATGAGAACTTTTACTTTGAATAAACAGTACAGTTACTCTCCCCGCCCCCTCCCCCGCCCCTCCAGTTTACTTGCAATTTCTTTAGAGCAGTTTCTTCTGACCAGCGAGAACACTGAGACATCCCTTTCAACAGTCTGGCAACAGCAAGTGACAGTGAAGAGGAAATGAATAATGGCAGTTTTTACATATTCTAACATTTAATGACTCCATTTACTGACACACCTCAAACACATTTCACACTTAGTCTATATTGTCTTGGACTCCCTTGAAATGCAGGATGGACTTCTGTTTTTCTAAACATCTTCATCTTGTAACCACAACCATATGTAAAAATGGCTGCTGGTTAACTACATGTAATTTGCTTTAAATCCATTATACGACTTAGAAAGCAGACATTTTCTGTGCAGGAAAAAGGCTCATTAGAATTCTTCAATGCATGTTCACGTTAGAGCTTTTAGCATTTTCTTTGCCAGTTTTATAAAGGCATTTATTTTTTTAAATATATATTTTTATTGATGTCAGAGAGGGAGATAGAAACATCAATGATGAGAATCATTGATTGGCTGCCTCCTGCACGCCCCACACTGGGGATAGAGTTTGCAGCCCAGGCATGTGCCTGACAAGGAATAGAACTGTGACCTCCTCCTTTATTGGTCAATGCTCAACCACTGAGCCATGATGGACAGGCTATAAAGGTATTTAAATGTTCTTCAGCAGTCATTTGGAGTGCACCAATACTTTAAAAAAAAAAAAAATATATATATATATATATATTATTGATTTTTTACAGAGAAGGGAGAGGGAAAGAGAGCTAGAAACATCAATGAGAGAGGAACATCGATCAGCCGCCTCCTGCACACCTCCCACAGGGGATGTGCCCACAACCAAGGCACATGCTCTTGACCGGAATCGAACTCTAATATAACAATAACAATATATGATGTCTGGCCGAAACTGGTTTGGCTCAGTGGATAGAGCATCAGCCTGCGGACTGAAAGGTCCCAGGTTCGATTCTGGTCAAGGGCATGTACTTTGGTTGCGGGCACATCCCCAGTAGGGGATGTGCAGGAAGTTGATCAATGATTCTCTCTCATTGATGTTTCTAACACTCTATCCCTCTCCCTTCTTCTCTGTAAAAAAAATCAATATATATTTTAAAAAGGTCGAATTTCATGCCAAAAAAAGAGCATTTGTGGGAGGTTTTAATTCATTACTGTATTTTGAAGAAAAGTGTTACTAAAAGTTACCATATACTTCGGGAAGCTTATGGTGAACATGCTCCATCTCAAGATACTGTGAATATTGGTTTAAATACTTTAAAAGGGGTGATTTTGATGTATTGTAGAAGACAAACAATATCTAGGCCAACCAAAAGGTTTGAAGACCAACAATTACAAGCATTATTGGATGAAGATGCATGTCAAACTCAAAAACAACTTGCAGAAAGATTAAACATTGCTCAGCAAACAATTTCCAATTGTTTACAAGCAATGGGAAAGATTTAAAGGAAGGAAAATGGGAGCCACATCAACAATGAAAAACAAATGGAAAACCGTAAAGTCATCAGTCAAATGTTGCTTCAACAGCAAGAGTCTTTTTTGCATCAAATTATGACTGGTGATGAAAAGTGGATTTATTTTGAGAATCCCAAACACAGAAAAACATGGGTTGATCCATGTCAACTATCAACCTCGACTGCAAGGCCAAATTGCTTTGGAAAGAAGACAATGCTCTGTGTTTGGTGGGATCAGGAAGGTGTGGTGTATCATGAGCTTCTAAAACCAGGTGAAACTGTTAATACTGATCACTACCAACAACAAATAATCAATTTGAACCATGCTTTGATCATAAAACAACCAGAATGGGTCAGAAGACACAGCAAAGTAATTTTGCTTCATGATGACGCACCATCACACACTTCAAAACCAGTTAAAGACACGTTAAAAGACCTTGCCTGGGAAGTATTAACCCACCTGCCGTATTCACCAGACCTTGCTCCTTCAGGTGACCACTTGTTCCCATCCATGGCACACGCACTCTCTGAGCAGCACTATGAGCAGTACATAGAAGTGGAAAAATGGGGTCTCTGAATTGGTTTGCCTCAAAACAAGAGAAGTTCTATTGGGAAGGTATCCACAAATTACCTGAAAGATGGGGGAAATGTGTAGCTAGTGATGGACATTACTTAGAATAAAGCACTTTTGATGTTTCTCTTAAAATTACCTTGTTTTTATTACAAAATCTACATTATTAACTTACACCAGGTATATAGCTACTCCCTCACTTTGGAGTCTTTTTATATATTGTAAAATCTTAAATCTTATTTGTGATAGCTTTAAATTATCCTGATTTTCAGATGTGATTTTCTGCAGTGAAAAAAAAAAAAAAAGTTTAATGGAAGTGATGCCAAAAAATTATATCTGTATATCTGACATAGGGCACTTACCTCCACTGTCAAAAAAGCCTGGATTTGGAGTGAAATGAGTGTCTCTGTTCTTTTCCCCTTTAAGAATAATCTTGTTACCTGAACAGACTAAAATATCTGGCACAGAAGAATTCTTATGTAATATCTGATGATGTAAGTCTCTCCCTCCCCCAAACCTGTTTAAAAGTCAATTATAACCTGACAAACTAGACTGCTGTAACATCTTAAGTCTTTGTGAAACCACCAAATCCCAAAGAAATGTTAACTGGTAAGCAATTGTACTTCAGATTTTGTGAGGAATTCATAAACAAAGGTGGCTGAGTGGATCAGTCAACTTTAGAACTGTGAACAGACTTCTAACTAAAACCAGAATGAATTTGGCTCTGGTAGCTCAGTAATGAGTCAGAGCTACCCACAATAACCTAATAAAAACTCAAGTTCATCCCAAAATGTTCCTCAGTGAATGAAAATGGGCTTTTTGTGGAAACTGACAATACTCACATAATTGCAAGCAATTCTTTCACGTGTAGGCTAAAGATTTCTGTATCTTATGCTTATACTGGTGACTAACACTGAATTTCACATGATACGAGGGCAACTATAGATCTCCTTGCAGAGGATGAAAGTTTTTGGCTCGCTCTTGGAAAAGGGCAAGGGGTTAGGTCCTGAAGACATCACCATCAGTAATTGCCTGGATGCTGTACTAATCTGTAAAAGACAGTTATACTGTTAAACTGTATTTAATTTGGATTTTAGATTCAGAATGCTACATTTAAATGACACCAGATTTTTCTGTGCTTTCACTTAATACCATGTAGAAGATGCAAAAGCCTTCTCAGCTAGGAAACCATTTGTATTTTACATTGAATTATCTGTCCATTTTGATGAATTTTTGAGTAAAAATTGATGTAGTAAACCAGATGGTGAAAGAGGTAAGGCAGAGAACTAGTAAAAGACAAAATAATAGCTACGAAGTACAGAGTCACTGCTAGGCTAAGAGGGTTCGAAATGAGGACTTGATAGAGACCAACAAACTCAATGACAGGGCTGGCGTCTTATTTAGTTACTATTTCAATTAAAAGGAGTACACAGATTAGTATAAATACTATATTTATTAAATATCTTTACAGTTTTTTTTAAATGTATTTACAGAACTATTCCTGCATAAGTTATATTTCAGACATCCAATTCAGGTCATTGCCTCTTGGGTAAGACAAATAATGATAGTCTCAACAGAAAAAAAGCAGCTCATTAGTATATATAAATTCAAACTTGCTTCATTGTTTAGCCATCTTTGCCACAAACTACCTGATAACCGTTAACATTTTGACATTGACACTGCCAATTTTTAGTTGAGAAGTTCAATTTTACAAAGAATTTAATTTTTTATGAATAAAATCCAAATGTTTTGTTTCATATTTTCAGTTTTATAAGCAGATTTCGTTTTTTGTTTGTTTGATATTGTAAAATTTGTTAAATGCAAAAATGTGATTGTTTCCAGGGAAATTTGATGCTGTAGCTTCTACCAAAGATAGCTGGTATAAGGTGACAAGGAACCAAGAACTTATCCAAAGTACAGACACTTATAGTTCTAGTCAATCTTGTTTACAATCTCCAAAACTCTCAAAAACAAACTCAGTGAATTCCCACAATTCCTGCCTTGTTACTTGATGTGGTAGGTTGGTGGTACTGAAGGTGGTACTGAAGGCTACTGTTCTATCCAAAA